TAGTACTACTATACCACTGCTACTGGCTACTACTACTACTACTACTACTACTACTACTACTACTATCACTTTTACTACTACTACTACTACTACTACTACTACTACTACTACTACTACTTCCTCTTCTTCTCCTCCTCCTGCTCCTCCTACTCCTACTCCCACTCCTACTCCTGCTCCCGCTCCTGCTCCTACTCCTACTCCTGCTGCTCTTCCTTATTCTGTTGTGGTCCGTAAAAGTCTTGCGCTTTATGGATGTTGCTATTTGATTATGACTGCTAGTCGCCTTCGTCTGTCTGATGGAAAGCAAACATTGTGGTGATTCGTGGTGTCGTCGATTTTCTCGGTGTTCATATACAATAGATGTGTTCCCGGCGTTGCATCTACGAATCTACAGTGGGTATTGCGGCCACCGCTCGGACAACCAACTACGACGACGACGCCTATCATCAGTGTTGGTTGTGGGCTTTTTCGTCGTTTGTGCCTGCTGGTGTTATGATGGAACGTTGCCACTAGTACTAATTAACATTACTAGCATGCATCGTTTCAATGCGGAGAGATGAGCAGAGTGATGCGGCAGGAAACATGCGGAGCATGACTTTTTTGCACAGGGCACGCATTGAGGTGTGTTGGATTCGGGGTCATGCTTGCAGCGCTTTTGCTGCCGGTCTAGAAAGACTTACCTGAGCTAAGCTGCCATGGATTGCTAGTCAGCTACTGCACTGTAACTTCTGTGCTCTCTTGGACTCTCTTGGACCTTGATACGTGAGCAAACGACGTCTAAGTTTAGGGCATGCAATCTACAAAAAGGTGAGAAAGCAGCAAGCATCCTGAGTCTCAGGAGATGTACCTTAGAGTGCTCCAGAGGGCTCCGTTGAACAGAAACACTTTCCGCGTGCGGGCCATCAAGAAGCCTGAGTCCTCTGCTTGTCTGCCTGCTCGGCAAGCAATTTGGCCGAGGACCTTGCATCACGCTACCCCGCCTTCGGGAGAGAACTAAGCCTCATTCTCCCAGTGAAGACAGAGTTGCATGGAGAACTAGGACTCCCAGGACGAGGAATTGCATATACTTGGACTTCCTGGAAACTGGGTTTAGGATGGTACTTCCGAAACAATGAGTAAGGTTGCATACCGATGCTTCCTCCATAAGCAGCACGTGCAGAAACTGAGTTGCATGACTTTGCATCGAAGAACAGAGAGTCAATCTCCTGCGTTTGGAATGGCTTGGATTGGCTGCAGTGCTTCGAGGCCAAGCATTGCACAGCAGTTAGGACATGGTCTCCGTGTTCTTCCTTCGACCTGCAGACTTCAGGGCGACATCTTGAGCTTAAGGACTTCGGGATGGGTGCATCGATGGCATCTCACGGCCAAACTCCTCAAATGCACGTCATACTCCTGAGCACTTCCCGTCCTCAATGTCTTCTCGCACTATTGCCTGGAACGCAACACAGGATGCCGCGCGCATTTTGGCTTGCGGCTGTCGACATATTGAATGCCTTGACACCAGAAAACAATCCCGACCTCCCGGCCATTGGTCTTGGCGAGGATGGAGGCTGGGGTGAGCCTGCAGAGGCAAATTTCCATGATGCACCACTAAGCACCGACAGCTGGAAGACAACACCAAGCTTCCAGAGGCAGAACCTTCGAACCGCACCGGATTCAAAATGTTATTTCCTATAGTTGCAGCAACTAGGCCGGTGGCCATCGGTTGAGGAACTCGGCCCCTGACAGCTGGACAACATATCGCAGCGATGTGTTCGCCCCAATCTCGCCCAGCAGGACCTCAGGCGCTAGAGGCAATCTCACTGCATGTGCTTCACTGCTGGTGCCCTTTCGCGATCACAGGCATATGAGGCATATGCTGACAATGAAGAAGATGATGTTGAACTGCCAACATGCGGTGTCATCCCATTTACCTCACCCATCTTCCTTATCATTCTGCCATTACGTTTGTTGCCTCGCAACACTCCTGCTTGCCACCACTACCAATACCACTACCATCACGAGCACCACCGCGAGTACCACCACCACCACCATCATCATCACCATCACGACCGCGATCACGACCACTACAACAAAAAGTCAGACGACGACGACGACCGCTGGGTCCGCTGGGTGTTTTCCAGTTACGGTTGTCACTCACACATCAGGTTGCCAACCAAGCCTGGACTAGAGGCTTCCGCGTCAGCAGTCGCCTTTCCGAAGAAACTGACTGCTGGGCAAAACTGTGACAAATCATAGGTCCCATAAATACCGCTCAGGCCTGGAAAGCTTAACCGAGCCCCGGGCAAGTGCATCCTCCTCGAGGGAAAGGGCTTCTGTCTGCGCCCGGATATTGACAACCTGACCCGCTGCACGTGCACATATGTGGCTTTTCAATCCTTACACAAAGTACAGGTTAGCAACAGAGCCCGTGTACCGACTTCTACAAGTTTCTACCACTACCATAATCATGACCATCAATCTTCTTCTTGTTTTCGTTCGTAGGAGTACTATGGCTATGAGGGCGACCTGCGACCATGGCATTGCTCAGAACCGGCCTTGGGGGCCCGCTACATTGAACCAGAACCAAACCAGATAACAGGCCGGGCAACAGGCCAGTGTTGGATAAACTAATGCCCTACAGTCACAGCAGTGGGCAACACAGAACAGCCTGGATGATTTCGTCCACTGAGTACGGCATGGTCCTTGAAGCAAGCGCTGCACGACCCACAACCTTGTCATGGCACATGACCTGACACTCAGGCTGACCTAAGGTTGCCTGATGTTGCCTGGTTTGCAGGTGTGAGTTTGCTCTGTGCTTCAACGACCAACATACACCGGAGCGCTGCAGTTCTCTTAGACGCTGCGACTTGGCAGGCTTGACAAATAGGCGGGTCCTGATGATGACCAGACGGTCTAGCAAGTCGACGGGAATACCGTGAGGCGCCACGATGTCGGTGCCGCGAATGGTGCAGATGCCTTCCAATAAAAAACACTCGGTGCAGAGTATCTGCCAAGGGCGCTGTCTGTCTGTCTCTCTATCTGTCCGTCTCTTGTTGTCTATCCGTCGGTCTATTTGCCCATCTATCAATCGTCTATCTTGCTACGTTTCTATCTATGGATCGATCTATCTACCTATCTATCTGAGCATCTATCTGAATCGATCGATCTATCGACCTAGATTTTCGTTTCCCTGGTACTCTTACTCCTGTGCCCGCCCACTCGTCGTCCCTCCATCTGTCTGTCTAGGTTATTCTGGGTATTGACATGTACATACAGACACGCGAAACTGCTCCCAAAAGCAACCACGGAAAGCAAGATGCTTCGACGTTTACTCCACTTGCGAGAGTCAGCGAAAATGATCCAATCCTGGCCAATAACATTGGCTGTTTTACATCGCGCTGACGATCATCCTCCGAAAACGAAGACTTTCACGAAGATCGTGGCCTCAACGGGCTCGATCCCTGTGACTGTTATGAGGGGGGCGTGGGGGAGGGGGTGATACCATTGGCGGGGGTGCGGGGTGGGGGGGGTGTAGCAGCCGGGGAGGGAGCACACACACACACACACACACGTGCATACATACATACATACATACATACATACATACATACATACATACCTACCTACCTACCTACCTACCTACCTACCTACCTACCTACCTACCTATTCCCACCTACGTACCTACCTACCTACATACATACCTACACACCTACATACCTACATACCTACATATCCACATACATACCTACATACATACATACATACTGACTGACTGACTTACTTACCTACCTACTTACTCACTTACGGACGTATGTATGTACGTACAGACGAGCATGCGCACATAGACATGTACATACACAGTACACAGACAACCCAATAGACTGATACACACATCTATAGACGCCCACCTCTGTTCGTGGCGAAGATGATGATGGGGCTGAGTGTCGACCTAGTCCAACGACGCATGGGCAATTTGCGTGCATGCATACTTGCAAGAACTAAGTGCTGGACTCGAGTGCCCTGTTCAGATAAGTGAAACACTCAATGTCGAGCATGTGTACCTGCCGCAACTCACGCAGAAATCGTTGCTCGTATCAAGTTGGCAGGTCGGCTTGTCAAAGGCTGCGCCCGGCCTCATCTATGAAAAGCACACCTGGAATCAACTCGGCAATGCCTTGGTCAATATACCTCCGGCACAAGCACTGCTCAAGAAGATGAGTTAAGAACATGACTTACAAGCACCACAACATCTATGCTGCTCTGCTCCTCTGTCATGTCTGGAAGATGGGAGTGCGGAACCATAATGGCGTGAATTTCCAGTCGCCGTGAAAATCGCTGTGCGTTATTTTTGTCGAGATGCCCCAACCGTCTGCGGCACATGTCTCCAACCCGTAGTTCCCTTTGCAGAATCCTACAACCTCAACCACACTCTATCCGAGAATCACCAGCCTGTTGACAACCTTGTTGATTTCTAACCGGAGCTTCTCCGTGATCTCCGTCTTTCGGGGCTTCAGGAAGCTGCCCATAAGACTCTGCAGGTCCTGCGAAAGGCTGCCAGCATTGAGGTCGCGAGGGGTTCCGCAAGTTGGTTAAGGGCGCTGGGTCTATCACAGGAGGATGGCAGTGATGCTACACACCCCTTGTTGGATGAGCCACATTCCACGTTCTGCAAGGGGCATAGGTGCAGCCCTGGACGGCAATAAATATGCGGTCCTGACCACCTTGGGGCTTGGCGTTGGCCTGGTCCAAGTCGTGCAGAGTCACATCCTGCAGGCCCGGGCCATTGGCGTGGTGGATGTGGATGGACTGTGTTGTTTTATCCCTGTCACGATACGCAGGTCCCCATCGCCCCCGAACACAAGATCCCTGAAGCCACACCCCACATACCCCTAAGAAGCAGCATGTCTCCGAACATTGGCGCAGTGCAACGAAGAGTTCACATTGATGCTTTGGGATGTCGAGGTCCATGTTCCAGAACTCGACGTTGAGGCTCCAGGGTCCTGCACAACTTCCTTCTTCTTGTGCACATCGCCCTTTGGCACCGGCACGTACCTTGTCGGCTGCAACCCGAAAGGAAAAAACTAAAATTCTTGGAGCCCACCTGGCGGGGTCCTGCAAGTTGTTGATCGAGGCCCCAAGATATGTGCTTTCCATCCGAAAGACTCCCAGCAAGGTAGCCTTCCATTAAATTAGGTGAGGCACTCATCTGCTTCGAGATCGAATTCTGTGGCGTAGCTATCGCTGCGGCCAACCTCAGCAAAGAAACTCAGACTCAGATCCTTGAACCCACGGCCATGACAGGCACAGCAAGCAGCATGATAACCCAGCTGTGCCGGGTGCTCTTCTTGCGGCGCCACTGTTCGCCTCGATGTAGATGACATCGCCGACCTGGTTGGGATATCGTCAGGAGCTCTGAAGGCAAAGACTAAGCGAGTGAAGCTCGAGCAAACCCAGACTCCAAGCACGACACCTCGAAGCCTAATCCCATAATCGAAAACATTCCAAGGCCCTGAAAATCCAGTCTCAGGCATGCGCTGTGACCTTCTCCTTCTGCAGACTTTCATAGATCTGGGGTGCCAGTTTCAGGGTCTTTTGGCCCTTCCTTGGTGGACACAGTCGTGGCAGCTTCGACAAGCTTGCGGGCTTGCCTATGTGCGTCGCCGTCGTGGGCTACGGATGTGACGCGCAGTGTCCGCTTCAAGCTTGATGGTCGTTGGAGGCTGCAAGTTCTCAAACAGATCGTTCACATGGAGGAACGGCGTGATGGAGACGTTGGGGCTCAGAGGGTTTTGCCTTTGGGTATGCATGGGGTCTGCTGTGTAGTGGGTCGGATGTGACGGTCTGTCCATCATGTCCCAACACGACGCCTGCATGATGACCTTCAAAAAACCTTGTGACCCAGCGAAGCCGGGCCATGACTCACAGGCTTGGCTGAGACATTGGATAACCTACTACGACCCTGGAGGCTCCGGGCCGCACTTGGCCGAACTAGGGTCCCCGGCGTGGTCTTCAAACCTATCATCACCTCATAGGACCAACAGCTCGAACTCGGGACTCATTAGCAATGCAGACAGGAGCCGTTGTGGGGGCATCACTGGACGGGATACTTCGGCAGCGTGAGCCACAGCAATCAGAAATACATACAATGTCGGAATTTTACCCGATGCTCATGCAGGCTCAAGCCTCGGATAACCTGCAGGCAAGGGACGGCGGTGACTTTCTTGCCATAACCTCCGGTGGGATCTGGTCTCTCCTCCACACAGGCAGATTCCATGCAGGGCATGACAAAACGGCTTCTGTTGATAAGTATTGGGAGCTTCCTCGGGTGTCAATTCGGTGACTTCGCCCTCGTAGACCTCCTTGGTCTCCTTTATTCGGATCCTGAGATGCAGAGACTGCGCGCTTCGTCTCCGGAAGGACTCGGCTGCTCCAAGGTTCCCAATGGCTCGACGGCAGTTCTCCATCAAGATCTCGGTCTTTTTGACCTACCGTGCGTATACCCTCGACCGGTTGCGACCGGCAGCATCCTCTCTCCATGCACAGCCTCGGGTCCAATTATTGCAGGCCTCTGAAGAGTAGACCTCGCTTCCCACCATCGGGCAGAAAGGCACCTCCCAAGAACACCGGGCAAGGCTCCAGAGAGACCTTTGGAAGCGTTAGCCAGGTGTTGCACTCGGACTAGAATCTGCTTACACATTCTGGGTTGCCGCGTTGCCTCTTGGACCGAGGGCAATCTGTGGTCGAGAGTCGAGAGGACTTTGGCAGCATCAAACGAGCCTTCGTGCCCAGCTCCTGCGCTATCGCCAGCGCCAAGGCCTCGGCGGCAGACCCTCTACGTCTCTTGCGTGTGCTGTGCTGGCATGGTGGCTGATGTTGTTGTGACGACCCTCGTCGTCTTAGTGATCTTGGGACTCACTGTTTGCTGGTTCCGGTCATGCTGTCTGTTGCGTTTTTTTCTCCACTGGCTCCCGCTCTTCATGCTTCTCAGTTTACTGACACCAGTCATGCGGCTGTTTCTTCATGCTTCTAGTCTCACCTCTGGTAGGAACGAACTGCTGTGCCTCTTGCGGACATTGCTACGAGTGTTGCCTCTTGTCACTATTAACTAGTCTATATCTCTTGCTACCGCTGCCCCAGCAGAAGTGTCTTTCTTCACACCTGATTGGAAAGCGGGCTGCTTGCCGATCTTTTCTTCCCAATGCTCTCTTAAAAGGCCCAAGAACCGAGCCCGAGAACGATTGTCTTCCCACGCTGCCCCACTTTGGCCCTGGCGGTCTTGCCGGTTCCCGGCGCCCCTGCCATCAGCAGCGCCCTGCTGGTCGACACTTCGCTCCCACGAAAAAAAGGCAACAAGAGCATGGCAAATGCTTCGCTGTGCGAGCGCATGTTGGGCGCTGGATAGATAGACCGATAGGTGCATTTTGGAAAGAGAAGCGACAAAGAGACAAAGGGTAACAAACAGCCACCACATTCCTCTTGCTTCGGCGTGTCTAGAGGCTCGGCACCATTGGTTGGGGTGGTGGTAACCCCGAACCAGCCGACGCAAATTTGACAACGAGACCCGAAGTCAAACAGAATTGGGACATGTTCAATTCATTACGCACGGCGTCCCGAAAGTCTCAAAATCCAAACATTCAAAGACTTGTCGGAATCGTGCAACATTGGTGCGAACAACAATCGTTGTTTTTCGTGTGAAGCAGCAACCCCGGTGAGAGTGCCGAAAAGCTCTCGCGGCTTGTAACTCGTTTTTGTGCTTCTAGCCCTGCTGTACTTCACCTTAAAAGAGCCAACACCCGACTCTTTGCACATCGTGCTGCGTGCCTGTTCATACACTGCTTGGGAGTGGGTGGTGCAGGCGGGGGAGCCGCAGGGGAGGAGACCACAAAAGCGTTGTAACGCTGAGCAGCGATAGCAAAAGCCAAAACGCGAAGCCTCCAGATGCACTCTTGTTTTCGTACCCGGTGTCTCGTCGCGTGTTTTGTTTATGGTTGCATGGATATATACATGCCATCTTAACTTGTATTGGTCTAGATGGGTGCGCCAAACGTCCAACAGCTGCCGAACATCAATTTCTCAGCCCAGATCCCAAACCTAAACCTGCCCTGGAGATGCAAAATCGGCGCAAAGTCAAAGAAGAGCTGGCTAAGTTTCCTTCAGTCAAAGCTGAGCCAAGCAAGATGCCAATGTCTCTAAACTTCTTTGCGGCCTGCCCGCCATCTTCTTGGACTTGATGAGATCGACGGTGATGCCGCAAGCCTCTCGGGCCTTCTCCTGCCTGGAGCACTTAGCCGTTTCGCCGTGGAGCCTAGGCCTAGCCGTTGAATTTCTTGGGTCGCCGTCCAAGGGCTTCGAGGTTCCTAGCGACATTCTTAGAGTCTCTGGAGGTCCAGCGTTCCGGCTTCGAGCGCGTGCTCTCAGTCTCAGGGGCTCGACGGGGGGGGAGGTTTCTGGATCTCTCAATAGCGGCGCCAGCACGCACTTGGCCATCGGGACAGACTGTAGAGTTGGAGTTGGAAGGCATCAAAATAACTGTGGAATCCTGCTGAGCAAATACTCTTACAAACAACCGTGCTTTGGTTCGCAATGCAGTGCAGGTTCTCTGCATGCACCTCAGCGCAGAAGCCTAGGACCCTGCATCCAAACCTTTAAACTTTGGATATGGGGAGGAGGGGAGAGGAGTTCGAGCTCAGGGTCGCTACCTTGCCCTGAGGCCCAAGCCCCACGAGGCCGCTGGCCACCTGCTGTGCTGTTCCATCCTGCCGTTTCAGAATGACGCTGTGCTGAGATCCAGCGAAGACTCACACACACGCACACACGCAGACAAAAGTGACATCGAATGACGAAACCTGAATTGATGAAACGAGATGTTTTTCGCCCAGTGCAACGTAATGGCTTCATTACGCACCTGGGAAATCGGCTGTCCATGCATCTCACACCGAAGAACTTTAGCATGTTTTGGCTTGCCTAACAATGCCGGTAGAAGCCCGTCCTCGGCAAGTCCCAAGCCTTTGATGTGGCTATGGGTCGCAATGCGCTGAGTCTTGGTGGTGGACTGCACCTGTGTGCAAAGCTTGAGGCACAGCGAGATGCGTCCTAGGATGGAACCCATGGTGGACAAACTACCCTCAAGGCCCTTTTGACAGAGCTACTCCGGCACAGCCTCCTCAATCTTCATGGCTGCAGCGCAGATTCTACCCAGGCCATGCGTGGGCAATCTCCCTCCTCACTTGAACCGAAGACGGGAGACCGGAGCTCTTTACTGTTCCGGCTGCACATGGCTGCACCGACGGCATGCAAAGCGGGCGCCAGATGCATGGACCTTTCGTTCTGCGTTGTGCGGAAAACTTCGCTGACTGCTGCACTGCATGTGGCGCTCGCATGCTCGCATCTAGCAGTTCTAGCCGTTGTACCAGCAAGACACGCACTGGGATGCACAGATGCCCTGGCAATTGTAGGTCTTGTCGATCAAGGCTGGGTCATCTGCAACTGCGACTTTGAAGTCGATGTCCTCCGGGCAGAAGTTCTGAGACTCCTCCAGGTCATCAAGGCTGCGGCCGAGCATGAATGGGTACTGCTCCACCACTCTCTTCAGAGAACCGTCCTCTCTGGTGACGGCTAAATTCTCCACAAGCCAGTCCATGACCGTTGCCATTTCCTCGTTCGAGGGGATGTTCGGCTTTCCCAGATACTGCATGTTCAATCCCGTGGACACCTTGGAGATGCAAATCTCGGCGCTCTGGTCCTCCAGACCCAGGGTAGTCTTCAAGTAGTTCGAAGCCCTGTTGAAGTCGTCGATGAGCGCTTCCTGGGACTTTCCGCAGCGCTTGGCCATGTCGGGGTTCTCCATGATCTGCTTCCGCATGTCAAACTCCTTCATCAGCCGCCATTTCCCGAGTCTTCGGATCATCGCACTCTTCACACTGAAGTCCTTCTTGACCCGATCCTTAAGGCCATGCATGGCCGTCCTGGAAGATCGCGACCCCAGCGCTGCCACGGCTGCAGCTGCGGCAATGCACGTTGAACTGCTCGAGCTGCCGCCCGCCGTGGCCGTGACCACAAAGCCGCTTGGCGGATTCGGGGCCGCGATCTCTCTCTGGACCTGCGCCGGGACCACAAAGGCCGGTGCCGGCACGCCGGCAAGCAGGCCCATCGGCATCGTGGACAGGCACGGGTCCACCTACCCCAAACCAAATTAACAAATGCAGATGCCTTAAGTTGCCCCTGACTGCAAATCGCTGAAGCAAGAGACCCGAAGCCGATTTTGGAAGACAATGCTCCTTACTTCCCGGCTGTGTCGGACTTCACACAACGCAAAAGGCATCTACCTGCAGCGCCTATGTTCCAAGCTTCGTGCTGCACTGTCTCAAGAAGTGTGTGCTGTAGTGCCGCAATCTTGCTCCAGCACGACCACATTGAATCAAACTAAGTGTTGTCAACACGAGGGATCCGAGCTGATCTTGTGCTAGGAGCACACTTTGGCTCCATCAAGGGCTCTTTGGCATCTTTGGCCCGGAGAAGGCACTGGCCTCTTCCGCTCACTGTTTCAGGGAACAGGAAGCTTGCATTTGCAGCCGCCTGCCACGCCTCAACTGCCTCATTATTCTCAGGGCTGTATGCAGTGGAGCTTCTCCTCGATGCTGGTCCGACAGATAGGGCACAGCCTGAGTTTGCTGCATGTTTCTGTTTCTTTCGTTCGCGAGCGAGAAGCCTGGGCCACTCACTGAAGAGGGGCCGCACAATCGCGGCACGTGCACAAATGCCTGCAATCCGGTGCAAGCAATGTCTAGCCGCTCTGGCCACTTTAGCATCCTCGACATGTGTCAGAAGAACACCGCCTGCAGGGCATAAAGAGGACCGTTTTCTGGAACTCGGAGCAGACCACGCAGCACTGGCGGCAGCTTTGAATCGGAATTCAGCCATCTTGCTACAAGCATATGAAACATCACGGGCTTTTTTGGGTAGCAACGTTCCGACAAGCTGCCCCTCCCCGAAGCACACACTTGCCGAGTTGTCGCCTGCTCCTCTTCCAGAGTCTGCCTTCCACGGCCTTGGGAAAACAGGAAGCTTGACCAAGCCATAGACACTGACAGCTCTACCGACTCTGAGTCAACCGCATGCCTCATCATGCCTGGTGGGCTGTCATCGAGGGTTCAGCTGTGAGCCCGCTTGACGTGCCCAAGTACATAATATCAGTACACTGCAAAAGGTACCACTTCACACAGACTCATGCAGCACAACGCAATGGAACACCAGAGGGATCATCTCAGTGCACATGCGGAACCGTCAGCAATGGAATGCAATACGAGACTCGAAATGGTGAATCTGAACCAGCCTTAGCATAGGCAGCTAATGCACATGTCATCAGCCGCGGCTGGCAACCACCACCACGACGACCGTCGGTGGCTCATCATCATCATCATCGTCGTCGTACTGTCCCATCACGATCACCACCATCACTAGAATTTTTAGAGTCACTATATAAAACTTCAGAGACAATTTCTGACGGCAAAAAAATGGTAATGCGAACAATTGCTGACCATGAAGACGAGAAGACACTGCTCGTACAAGTAGTCTCCTAGGGCTCACGCTTCCTCTGAGCACTTTCGAGACGTCTTTCCTGGAGCCGCACGCAGACAGACAAAGAAGAGTTACTCATCCCATTCTTCTGTGGAGTACGACCTCTACTCCAAGTGTGACAACTCTTCTACTTCGCAGAAGGCACGACTTCGACGGTGTGCAAGTGCTGGAAGCTGGCTGTTACCCCCGCAGGTGCACTGCTCTGACAGGAAACGATGAACAAGGCATCACAAGGAAGGAAAAGGATGAAAGTCTCGTTTGTCGACAGGTTTCTGGTCATACACTACAAGTTGAGACTGGGGAGTATCGATCAAAACGGCACCAACATGCACCAACTACCTCATTCCCATGATCGAGATTTCTCTGTGCTCGCTTTCTCAAATGCGCAAGCTTCTGTGCCAGTCGGTGTGATCTGCGGGCAAGCTTCCAGCCAGTACTGTCGTCGCTTCCGGATGGCGTGGAGCAGCGCCTTCAGTCTGTTTGCCGCAATGCTCGGCCATACGAGTAGTTGACAGATATAGCAACAAGACCTTGCATGCGAATACATAAACGCACATAAAAGCGCAAAGTACACAGGTGGGTTACAGGGATGTATGTGGTCTCTCTTTCTGTCCATCATCTGTCTATTCGGCATGATAACACAATCTGGCATGCAGTACCCTATGATGCTGTGTAATACCATCTAGACTGCACAACTAGCGCAGCCTGTCCGATAATATATTATGTCAGAGCCGAAAGGCTGTATATCACACTGTAAAATGACATGACACTATGCGGTAGCACAGGATGGTAGTGCCATACCATGAGGTCTCGTGCCATGTGGTACCACAAATGATTACGCATTGGTCCGGATCGCAGCCATCCTTCATCTACCTACGGGGTGTGCTGCACCTAGTTGTTGCTGTCTTTGCGCCTGTAGATCGGCCACATTTTGTTGCTACAGCTACTTCTGTTAAAGGCAATACACAAGGTTACGATGACTGCTGCTGCTGCTGCTACTTCGAAGTATTGCATGTCAAGCACGATGATGATGACAAAGATCGTCGTAATGGACATGACTCAGCGATGACGGCGAGAAAGTTCTTAAGGACGATGATAGTGGTGGTGGTGGTGGTGGTGGTGGTGGTGGTGGTGGTGGTGGTGGTGGCGATGGTGATGTCCATGGAAGTTAGAACGATGCTGATGACCACGATGACTATGGGCTGAATTTACGCTTAGGGCGGGATGGCGAAAGTTGTTCTTCCTGTTACTATGACAGGTGGTGATGAGGTCAGCAGTTCTCATGGCTCCGGTCATGATGATGAAAATAATGGTAAGACTGGTAAGACTCTAGATTATATTGGTACTGATGGTGATGATGTATTGCAACTGGCCACTCAAAGCTGCGGGAAGTGACAAGCTGCAGTAGTTGTACAATACTCTCCCAGTCCTCCAGCCGGCCCTCAAGTAGTTCCAGCTCCTGGCGTGGCCATCGGACCCATGAGTAAAATATACGGTAAGCCGACAGCTGTGGCAGCTCCTGAAGGCATTTCGACTAAGATGCCTCCGCTTAAAGCGGCTTTTTCTCATCTGGCGGAGTCTAGCTGCCGATCTATCTTTTTATGCGGAGCTCGACACAGTCGGTCATCGTCATCAGAGCCGCTCTATGTGTCGTCTTGTTCATTATCAGCAACAGGTCTTCAACCAAATCATCCTGTTCATCAAAAGCTTGGGCCGTGAGAAGTAGCAACATTCTCATCAAGGGCTTACACTGCTCAGAACTATGTTAACAACAACAGCAGCAACAGCAGCAACAACGACAACAGCAACAACAATAAGTTCAACAACCACAACGACGATGAACTACAAGCAAAACTCAAACCACCACGACGACAACGACACCCATTCCGCCTCCGGTCGAAGATCTTCCAAATAGGACTCCATTTCGTTGGGATGCAGCGCGGCAAGGGCCTTGCAGAGACCCAAGCCCCGAAGCCGAACACTTTCCGTAAGAACTGCAGCGGCCTTGGTCAAAGCTGCTCCGCTGAAGCCGTCGGCACTTGCGGGAACGGTCGCTTGCCGCCCTGAGCCAAGAAGAAAAGCAAACGATGAACCCCACACTTCTTGCTAAGAGAGACGAACGGCCATGGGCAGGTCTACTCAGCGGCAGAAAGCCAGGTGGCACACCACGAAAATCTGACTGAGGGCAAGCTGGATGTGCGTCGCGAGCCTGGTCACGTTGGCACAGAATGCAATCACTCAGTATGTTGGCATCATATTGCAGACTGCCTTGACAAAGTGCTGCGCAACGGTCTCGTCGGCAAGCCTCAGGTTGTATCGCCTAATTGGGACATTAAACACTCAAAGCAAAGCAGCCACTTGCGTTGTGAGCACCGCGCTCTGCAGACGATGTCTGGGCTGACAGTAGCTCTGCCACCACCTGAGCACGATCCACACCTTGGATGGTGCAAAGATGCGACGGCAGAGCTATACTATCACTTGTCATGATCCGTATGACGATCACCTCGACTTCCCGACCCTCGCCTTCTGGGAAGAGTTGTGGGACCCCAAACTGTCACAAATTTGCATCGATTGTGGGATCCCTGCTCGGTTGCGGACTGGGGGGGTGCGGAGGCTTGGGCACATGTGTTCATGCGACGTCCCTTCCACATGCAGACGCAGCCCCGCGGTGCTAGCGCATTGCCACCTATGCCACCTGTTGCGCAGCTTTACCTGATTCGGTTCTGACAGGTTCAGCATGCTTCATCTTTATGGCCCGTTTGCACGCTCCTTGTTTCCTCACGGCTGTCTGCACTGCATGTGTCTGCCCTGTGCTGTTGGGGATGACAACGCAGTTGGAGCGGGGATGAGGCAACATGCTGTCCATGTGTGGCGCTGTCTTTCCAGGCTTTGCATGCGGCTGTCTGGACACATGTTCTTTGGAGAGCTGCGAAATGAAATCTGAATCCTGGCAATCAGCTCAACACGCCTGGAACTCATTGCCCGAAAAACGAATGCATCCTGCGAGTGAACCGGATGGCCCGTAACGAACCGCCTGTGCCATGGTCATAACGATTCTCCTCACCATCATGAACATCAGTTTCAACAGCCTCTTCTTCTTCCGTGTTTTGACAGATTGTCTACCATCGCCAGTGTCAGCAACTCCAAACCACGAAACACAGTCTGTTTCCTCCTGGGTCCAAACTCTCTCGACACATCTCCTATCTCGATCCTTTGCAAATTTCCGACACCCAGCAACCATGAATCCCAAGAATCGCTGCCACCCTTCCGACCCTCAACCTCTGAGACCTGGTCAAGGCGCTTCCACTCGCGGCCAGGGCCACGAGAGGAGTCCACTGCGGATACCTGCAGATTCAGGCGACACACAACGGCCCAAGCGCTTTCGCTTTTTCATAGCCACGAGAAAACCAAGAGCACCTCAAAGGGTCCGGCGGTCTGCTGATGCTGGAAGACGGCTTGCCTGCATGATTGTGGGGCTGCAGATTCGATTTTCGAAAAAGCCTGCATGGAGACGCAGCCCGAACTGTTTGCGAAACATGACGGAGTGCAACGCATGTTTCCACTACATCCGTGGCAATATATAACATTCAGAAAACCAGCTGAACAATCCTTGAACCCGATCTGAGAACGGCACATGCTGGGTCCACACGGAACTCCAGAAGACTCCGCACGACCTATTCTCGGAGCTTTAAAAGCAGAGACATCCTAGCAGGTTCTAGTAGTAATAACAGTAGAAGTAGTACTAGTAGTAGTGGGAGGAGGAGGAGTAGTAGTAGTAGGAGCAGCAGCAGGAGTAGTAGTAGTAGTAGTAGTAGTAGTAGTATAGTAGCAGCAGCAGCAGCAGTACAGCATGCCGGGAAACCAGAACTGCGCTCTTTGGCCAAGATTGTCGGACAGTCAGTCTTGCAATCTTGGTCTCGCCGACTAGATTACCTTTTGGACCAAGATTGCGACCAAGATTGCCACGCAATCTTGCAATCTCGGTCTCCAAAAGGTACACTAGTCGGCGAGCAAGTGGGCAAGGGGGGCGAAGATTGCAAGCAATCTTGCCATCTTGGTGTCCAGAAGGTAAACTAGTCGGCGAGCAAATGGCGCGGTGGAAAGATGACCAAGATTGCCTGGCAATCTTGCCGCCCCCCCTGCATGAGCAAGATTGCAAGACCGTCAAGATTTGGAAAAAATATAAGTTGTAGTTTGCAGGCACAATCGTCGTCGTGGTGGTGGCGGTGGTCGTAGTGGTAGTGGTAGTAGTCGTCGTCGTCGTCGTCGTGGTCGTCGTCGTCGTAGTCGCAGTTGTAGTCGTAGTCGTAGTAGTCGTCGTACGAGTACTAGTACTAGTACTAGTACTAGTACTAGTACTAGTAGTAATAGTACTAGTACTAGTACTAGTACTAGTACTAGTACTAGTACTAGAACTAGTACTAGTAATAGTAGTAGTAGTAGTAGTAGTAGTAGTAGTGGTAGTGGTAGTGGTAGTGGTAGTGGT